TTTCATTGTTAGAGGCTGATGGTGCATATGCAACTTCAGACCATTTTTCTTACCAGTCTTTGGATGAGCGGGCAGGAGATAAAGGAATATGTAGAAAAACATGAGCTAACCTTGAACTAGGTGGCTCTAAAGAACTGACAGCGAAGTAGCCATGACAGCACGTAGCTCACTTGCACTAATTTACCAGCCTTCTGGATAAGATGAGCTTGGCTACACTGAGCACTGTGGTGCTGTGACCAAGGCCTTGGTAATTTGTTAAGCCCTGGTGAGTATCTGCTTGTCAGCTGTGCTGTGACTGGCCTGATGTATAGGGTGTTCCTGGTGAAGCTGAAAGGCAAAGCTCATTAAGTAAAGCTTCATTTTTTTGTGCTTACTGTGGTTTTTGTTCATAGAAATGTGCTCAGATGGCAAGTAAGGTTTTTGTAAGTTAGGAAAACGAAGATTGAAGGTGGTATTTTGGAAGCCTTGAGTTTTGCTCCCTATCCCTACTTCTGCCAATGCTGAAGGACTGAGTCCTACAGATTAGAAGCGCACAGGTGAAATGAGTGGAGGCCTCTCCTATTAATGTATGCTTCTCTCTTCTGTTTAGGATCTCCAGTCAGTGCCCAGCCAGTGATTATGGCTGTTCCTCCCCGACCGTCTGCTCTGGTGGCAAAACCGGTTGCGTACATGCCAGCATCAATAGTGACTTCTCAACAGCCTTCATGTCATGCAATTCACGTAGTTCAGCAAGCTCCCACTGTTACAATGGTCCGAGTTGTGACCTCCTCTGCAAACTCTGCAAACGGATACATCCTTACGAACCAGGGCACAGCAGGAGGAGCTCATGAAGCTGCAGGAGCAGTGTTGGATTTAGCTGGTGACCACCGAGGTAGCTTTTTGTGTCCCTTGCTATTCCGCTAATAAGTCTTGAGCAGGCTTGAGGGAGTGGGTGGTCAAATGCTGTTTCGCTCACTGGGTGTTTAGCCCTTAGTAAAAGATGTTTTTCCAGGTAAAACTTAAACCAAGTAAGAGTTCATCCATTTGATGTCTCCACCACTGAGCGTGACAACTGTGCTCTCTTGTCTCCTGTGGGGAACAAATTTAACAGACTTTGGAGGCTGAAAAAACATGCAGTGCTTTAAATATTTGTATTATCTCCATTATTGATGTAATGCTGGCGTATTGGTCTGCTGGATGTGCTATGGAAATGTGTGCTTTTTCTAGCCAAAGAGATGGCCTGAGAAAGGCTGAAACTCTCTGCTTCAGCATGGCTGTGTACATAAATGATTGAGCCCTTCTTTTCCACAGGCCTGGATTCCTAGAAGAAAGCATGCGCTTCTGAAAGTGCAGGCAGTGCCCCATTAACACAATCTTCAAAAACCAGTTACATCAAAGGCCTCCTTTTTTGCCTAAGCTGGAAATTCCAGCCTTGGGGGATTTAGTGAGTTAAACGTTCTCTTGCTGTGATCTTGGCAACACCTTGTCTGCTCACCATTTCAGAAGGGCTTAGTGCTGCTAAGGTAGATGTGTGTTGTACCATAAGCAAGACTAGTTACTCCGATTGCTTTTATGTGGGCAGTGGGGCAATGGTTCTTCTCTAAGGGAAAGAAAAAAATTACAAAGACCTTCCCCTACAGCAACAGCAGGACCACTGGCATTTTTAGTTCAGCACTGGTCGTCCTGCTTGAGTTTCACTCACATTCTCTAGAAATTCCTGTCTGGATCCCATACGTGTCCCTGAAGCACTAACATTTGCAGCTGCCTAGTTATCACCTGCTCCCCTCTTTCATTCACTAGTTCTTGCTGTCATTTGCTCTTTCCC